AGAACGCTTTATTTTACATCTCCATACGCGAGCGCCGTTCCTGTATATGTGTATTAACATATTCACAATGCGTTCACGAACGCAACCAGCGTCTTGGCGAGCGATGCGATGCATTTGTATCGACGGACACGTATACTTAAGTGTAAAAGAAGGAAATGCTCTCCGCCGTCAAGAAATTGTGTGTGATAAATAAGCGCAGCGTTTGTTGTTACATGTGTAATGGCATGCGAGATTTATTGAACATCGCGCCGTCCGCGTGTAAATTCGTTTCGTAGCTCGTTTCCCTAGATATGCATGTGTGGGTAAGTAAAGTAACTACATACATAAGTATATATGATTCACATATGCGCGTCTATCTTTATACTGCTTTGTGCTGAAATTTATCGCCAAATATCCTCTGAATCAAATACTTTCTTCCACAACACTCGGTATTTTAGTTATTGTCGGTTGTCCATATCGCGTTCTCGTTCATTATTTAAAATTATTACTTACACTTTTGTTCCCGGCGTCCGCTCCACGCGCTTTTGATGGCGATGGGCGCGAGAGTTGGCAAAGCCGGTTACTTCTTGTTCGTCGCCGGTGCTTGCTTCTCGTTTTCGTGTGCGCGCGGCTTGAAAGCCTTTACTACCGCGTCAACCACCGCAGGAACGCACGAACCAAGAAAATAACGCGTGATTTGAGACAACACGCGTAAGCAGGCGTAAAGACAAGAAGAAAAGGCGTAGCCGTTAACCGAAATGTACGCCGCAGCATTTTGGGTGGTCGCAAACCGCCGAATTCTTTCGCTTTTCACATGTTTCCTTTTTGCAATTTCAACGTACGACGTACAAAAGTACTTTTTCTAAAAATACCCACAATGTGTTCTTGCAAGTGTCGAACGAAATTATAACTCGTTAACTTGTTAGAAACACGTTGCGCGTCGCCCCAGCGCATTTGTCTACTCTAATAAGATTAAATTCAACCCGTCCTTTCAAATATTCAAAACGACGGGACGGCTATCGAGTATCAGTGCAAGCCTAGCACTGCTTATCCCTCGACGCCGCACCACGAACTTCGAGGTACGAGAATTATGCATGCGAAGATAAGCATCGGCGTGTGCTGTCCCGCGTGATCGGAAACTAACTATTGTCTACACATTCCACCGGCTTTAATAATAATAATACCAGCGCGTTGGCGCTGGCGTTGACGCAAGCACTTGATGTCCAAACGTATAAATGCAAAGCCAAATCGATTCGCTTATCGATCAAATGCAAGCGCACCCGACTTAAGTGGTACACCGTGCATGATTGTTACAAACCTTCAAACATAACATAATTGTGATTTGTTTTAACTCAGTAATCGTTGGAGTATTGTTACAGCGCTACCGAGGGCTCGACCACATTAAATACATCTAGTGTGTGACAAATCATCCGTGAATTAATTCAATCAGAAAGGAAAAAATACTATTGTATTGTATAATGTAGCAGGTGACCTAATGTCTTGTTATTACGTTATTTCCTTCTTATTTTACCGTCACCACATTGCGTTGAGTTAATTTACTTCTCGCTTTTTTTCACATTCGATCGAACAGGTCGTTGTGCAGTAGTGAAGTTGCGGTGTCGCGGCGTGTGTTCTTTGATTACGCGCTCGATGTTTACGACCGCTTTGATTATTTTAAACGTCATGATCGAACGCAGGTCGCGAATGTCCTAATTGAATAAATTCTAACGAAACAAATTACGCGTTGCATCAACGTGAAATATTTCTAATTAATTGGCCGGCTAGCTGAACCGCCATTAAAAGTTCAAACAAACCGCGCATAGAAAGAAATACATATAGGTTTGGTTGGCTAGCTTTACACAAAATGATTACTTTTAAAAATATTGAAGACATTTGTCCAAACACAGTATTGAATACCAAGAATTACAAAGCATTATTAAAAATTATTGCACATTGCCACCAGAGCTTATTGAATTTTTATTGCAGCTCGCTTCGCGCGAAACGTGCGTCGAATGTGTTATTGAATACAATCCTTTGTGCCGAGACTGCACACACAACACGCATCGCGAACAACAAGCGCACTGTGCCGTTTTGTAAATTGATAATTACGTGTCACGTGTAAGCGATTGACAAACAAATTGATTTCGTTATAAATAAATCGAATGCCACACGTGGCCTCATGTCACGCTTGCTGGAGACCCGTTTCGCATTGAAACGTAGGTAAAATACATAATTGCACGCGTTTTGCATGCATACAAAAAGTGCGCTTAGTTAAAACGTGCTTTCAAATGAAAACGAAAACGAACATGATGACCGATGACTAACGACTTTCAACATTATGATTTTTACACATGACTAATTTTCAGTTTTTTAAAAGGATATTTATTTAAACATGCGGTATGCGAAAGCTTTTCGGTAAATACGTGGTAGAAAAGTTTTGCTTCGTCGGCTGGTTTTGATGCACGCGCCCAACGTACGCATGATTCATGTCCGCGACGTCGGTGTAATATGGAAATGTTTATTGTGGTTCAAGAATATGTCAACAGAATGCTTCATCATTTTTTGTACATTATAGCCTAATATAAGCAAAAATAAGCATATAACAAGAAACCAAGCTCAAGCAAAAGTTATATTTGACGTAGTTTTAGTTTTTCTAACACTAGAGCCTTTATTCTTACTTTTGTTGCGGTTTGACGCATATTTAATATCTGCGCGTTCACAAGACACGTACGAGGTGTGCGAGACGACAAAGGAGAGTGCACACACAAGGTGACGATATTTGGCGACACATATCTACACACCCACGTGAAATCATCACATTCGTCATGTCGTTTTATGCATGTGTGTGCACTGAATGCATAATTTAAAGCAATATCAAACCGGGTCGCGCATTCACCACCATTTTGTTAGCGATCCCTTTTCCCCATCGCCATATTTCAACATTTCATATAGCACTTTGTCATTCGAACATAATACACCGAATATAAATCGAAGTTATGTTTTCGCTAACATTCCATCATAAAAAATCAAAATCAATAACAGTTTTTCATTTTTAATTCGAAAATTAATTGGTTACGATGACGGGCTGTTAGAGAAAGACGTAATTCAATTTAAAACGTGAACATAAAACCAATCAAAACAAGTTTAAGCAAGTAGTAATAAGTTCAAAAAGCAGACGTAAATCGATCAACGCGAAACGCGTAATGAATCCAGATCGCGCAATCTCCGATCCGGTGCGGTTTCGTGCGCGTTCATAAAATCCCAGCAAGTACACAATAAACATTTATGTTTTTAATAACTATTGTAATAGCCGTTAAATTTTAATTAGTTTTTCAGACATTTGGGCGAGATATAAATAGCAGTTTATTGCTGGCTATAATAATTAAAACTGCAAAATGGAATTAATATAAATTCATTATCAAATCGACCGATTGACGTTTTACGCGCAAAGAATAACTAGAATTAAACCGAGTTAAACTTTCATCAGAAAGTTATATGTTGTGCTATTGGCAATTAAAATATTCTACATTAAATGTATTTTATACGATAGCCATCGTTAAAGTCAATGTGTGCTATTTCTAGATAGATAAAGTGAAGCTGAAGGAATTTGCGTAATGCCGACAAAGTCAAATGCCAGAGTCAAACCACGATGTCAAGATGCACTTTACACTTAATTTTTATGCATTCCATTTATAATTGAAGGCATACGCGTCCTCTTTTCAAAGATTTGATATCGCATGCGATGTGAAATAGTTATAGCGGCATTGATATGCTGTACTGACGGACCACACGCCTTTTGAACTACTTATGCTGGACTGAATGTCTGCTTTGTACTTACGATAAACTTATTCTTTTCTTAAGTTAATTTATTGCTCGTAAACATCTAATGCGGTAGGTATTTGTTTCTTCGTACTGACATTGTCAGAATACACAATGTTTTCTTTTTATGACGTACATAACCGCCAAATAAATTTTTGGTAAAATATATTAGAATTTAAAAATAAATGGTATATTTTTAATGTTCTGTGACCGTAACATAAAAAAATATATTTTTTAAATGAATGATACATGAGGTAGGTACTTACTGCAACTAAAAAAAATTCAATAACGCGAATTGCAGTTGCGCTTGAATAATAGTAGCATAATAAATTTTAATAAATTGCCTGATTTCATGCAATAAGCCGTAAGGCGATGCGCATATTTCCATTGAATTTAACAACTTTTATTGCCCGTCCATTCCCCACTATGATGTTTTCATGGTAATGATAATAGGCGCAGAAGAAGACCGTTCTCCTGACTGCGGCAAAATCAAAATCAAATTTTTCCCATTCCTGTAATGCGCAAACTATTAAATTAATTTAATCGTGCAAAACGCGCGTACAATCTGTCACATCATTTATTATTACGCTAAACATCCGCACAATATACATGCATATGCAATGTTTATCCCCGGCGCACGTTAATGCTGCGTACTCATTAAAATCTTGTTTATAACCGTCAGTTTTACCGGGCCTAGGAAATTTATATTTGTGGCGTACGTGAAGTTTAGAAGACGCTGAAAAACGTCGAAAACTGCTTTTCGAGGCGCACGGCATTTAAAATACGATGAGCTACTCGTTCTTGGAAACTGAAGCCAGTGGTCGTTTAGGGGTCGAAGCAAGCGCACACCTTGTTCTTTTCATTTGCGCCGTGTGCAGCCGATTTATACCTGCACATGGTGTGCATACACCAGTGAATATTATTTTTGTTTGAAAATAAATGAAATTTTACACCCAATCTCACATTCCGAGCGATAAAGTTCGAATAACACTGCCTATCAATAAATGATAAGTCTTGAGGCGCGCAACATGGGTGACCTTGCGAGAAACGACAATATTCAATAAACGTTGCAATTTATAGAAGCATTAATCAAGCATTGTGCGCGCATCGTGCGCAATGCTACAAAAAAGGTTCATCACTAATGAAAACCTTTAATAAAAACTAAAATTCTCTTAATTGTTATGACTACAATTTAAGCTTACCTTCTTTTTGCAGTCCTTCAATTACTAATTGATCCCGTTGTAAATGGAAAATGTTTATAATCCAACAACGCACAACACAAAGCAAGACAAAACAATGTTATGTAAATAAATCGTTAATAGAATGTGAATATTAGCACACCGCACACGCATAAACGTCTGTTTTAGCGTTGAATGTCCGCGCTTTACTTAAGTACACAAACAACGCTCAACACCGCACGATGCTAAAGCACGACTGAACACAAAACATCAGGCAACGGGAAGAATCCAGCACCAGCAAGCTGCAAGCAGAGCTGAGCGCGACGCCCGACCCGACTATCAGCAATCGTGTTTAAGTCCCAACGATCGGATACGATCTCGTCCGATGTGGCTACGCGAGAGGTGCGCCGTTGCCTCACAAAGCGGCTTAAGCAACACAACGCCATCGAGGTACGAGTGTGTACTACGCGTGGTGGTGGTAAGCGTATTATTCCCCGACTCTCTGCAGATGAGGTAGACTGAAGCAGACGCTACGCACACATATAAACCAGGAGTGTATCCGCAACAGGTGGCGGCATGCCTTTTGAGCCACACATAACCGACGAAGAAGCGAACGAGATACTCGTAGTCGATCCCGACGGCCCATTTCAACGACCGGATAAAATATGATAAAATACTGAACCGCGTTTTGCTATTTAGAATTTTAATAGGCTGTCTTTGATGATAAATATTTTGACGCCGAGTGCGCGCAGCAGATAGAAATGCGAAGCCGACACAACACTCGATGAGGACGCACCCGACCTTTAAGAATGTCAAGCATAAAAAAGAAATACGCCAACTTGTTTCGATGTGTAAGTGCGAGTCTGAGTGTAAGATATCGAATTCCTGAAATATCAGGCCAGCAATTAATTGTGAGCACATTATTGTCGATTGTCAAATGTTCTATGCACCTCGCAGGCGCGGATTTTGCTCGCAATGGAAAATGGAAACGTTCGCATCGCATGAAAGTTGTGACGGTCGTTAATCTTCTTCTTTTGGCATCGTACGCGGCGGCGGCGGCGGTCGCGGTTATTGCCATGTGAATGCCTGAAATCGAATGAAAAGGAGAAGAGTTTTTCGGCTCGTAAATCAAGCGACAAAATAGAAATTCCGCATCGAACGCGGGCGGCACAAATAAAATATCCAATTTCTCAAATTTCTCAAATGTTTCTCTATTTTTACGTACGCGGCGTGTAGTGAAAGACACAAGATGCAACACGCGGCTAATTTACGCAATCATACGGATGTTAATCGTTTCCCACTTTTCGAGTTGCGTGATTAATTCTTAAAGTACGCGCAGGAATGAAGAACGCTCATTTGTTATTCTCTGACATTCCTGTGTTGTACCGGTGGAAGAGGTTATGTTTTGCTTAACCTTTAAAAACCACAAAAATATTGGTTTTATATGGAAAACAACCGTAAAACACAAAAAGTTGTTCGGCAGTACTACTTGCATTTGTTGTGTGAGTAATTACCTTGAGATTTAATTTATTATTTTAGTATAATATATTTAATTACGTCTAACAGTAGAATGATACAAATGTAATTCTAATTTATAATGGTGTTTTTATCGCTTATGTTTCAATATTGTTCCTGAATGTAAATTTGCATAACAAAATTTTGGATTCGCTTTAATTAGCGCAAATTAGCGAAGAAATACAAACAACAAATACGCAAAAGGAAAATGATACAAATCCAAATAAACCAAGGGTAGAATGTCCGCCGGCACAATATTACGCATAAAGGAAACGCATTGATGCAGCGGCTGAATGGCTGAAAGTACAAAAAGCAGGGAAATAATGAGAAACACGGGGATGAAGTACGTATTGTGCGAGCCACATACATATTATAACCCCTTTTATTAAACAGCAACAGCAACGCGCATTGATATTTAAATTTTCGCATATTTGGTTAGCCATTTTCAAATTTGATTAAAGTAATAAATTACATAAGCACGTGCAATTTCGAAACACGTTTTGCAGTTTCCACAAATTACAAAAATGAAATTAATATTTTTTCGTATTTTCAAGCAATTTCATTTATGAAATCTTCTGTTATCATTACAATGTATATTCTACATTGTGTAAACTTAAGATTGAAGAAGAACGGCTGCAGAACTTGAGCGAAAAGTAGTGAAAGCTGCCATGTTAGATAAACATTTACATTTACTTCTGGAGTTTCGTGTTGCGCGCGATTTAGCATTTTGTGCAAGAGCACAAAATTTGGCAAAGTTTGAAGTCGTTCTTTACTCATCTACTTGGAATTTTAATTTCTGCGCGCCGTTATAAAATTTTACATTTTCCTGCCATAGATTGAGCAGAGAGCAAGCACGCTTCTGCTTCAACATTGCCGCCTATACTTTCCCCTTTTTTCGCCCATCTGTAGGAAGCCCTTTGTGCAAATACTTTCAGCGTACTTTCACATAAAATGCATATCTACCAATATACAATAGGATTATAAAAGTCTCCAAATTATTTAATAACCAAAACTTAACCTTACTATAAATATTAAATAAAAGTTTATAATTTCAGTGTATAAATACGAAATAAATTGATTTTTCTGCTCGAAATGGAGAACGTTTTCTTGTATTTTTATTTTATATTAGTTTTTGATATCACCATGTATAATGCATGTGAATGAGCTGTATCGGCAAACATAAAGCAAGTAGACGTGTCTTTGTGTGCGTTTTTTAATATTGTCAAGCCAATCACTCTAATAACCCTTCTTGAAACGCCTCACTTCATTCATGCCGTTCTTTCAGCGTTTGGAGGACGTCTCTTCGGCGGGAGGATTTCAGAAAGCTCTTAAATCGCGATCAACGAGTTTGCCACGCGTATATTCCCTCAACGCATAAAAAGGCTTTCGTATATATTTCAAGCTTCCCACATACACGAACTGGGTGGCGAAATTTGTCGCTTAGGATGCGAAAATTGTTATTTTTATGATTAATGTCCTTCGGGCCGTAAAATTTAACAACATCGATTTCTACTTCTGGTTTTGCTCAGCACATTACGCAAACTGAAAACATAATATACGTAATAGGAAAACTGTGCAATGACCCTTCGTAAACTCAACGATAGTGGTTATTGTGGTAAATTGTTTTCTTCAACTCTCATAAACTTCAGAAATAACTATTTCCGGAATTAGAATTAGACACAATTATAAATCTGGTATTTCAGGTATTCTTCACCTGCATCCACGATGCATGATGCATAATAAATACCCTCGAAGAATTTCGTTTGTTTTATCAAGATTTCAATCTGAAACTCGCTGTTGGAAACAATTTAGTGTCGTATTTTTCATTCACGAGTGGAAAAACACGCACACAGACAGTGAACGAGGTCATAAAGCCACACGTATTGATAACGATGGCAGTATAAATATACTTAGATGGAGCATGCTAATGTTGCACAAATAATAAATGTAATTGCTGGCGTTCACAACGTTGTAAAAGCCACTATTAAAGCAGTGCCGTTGCGAAATTATTATCATCCGACCGGGCTACAGTTTCAGGGTGGCATTATATTTCCAATTGCGGGCTCAAAGTTCCACTCTTGGCGCATTCAGTAGCAAAGTGTGTACGAAGAGGACCGTCGCCGAAGTTAATACAACATACCGAATATACGAATAGGAGTTATGGTAATGGAGGCGCCACGAAGTCTACGTAAACCTTTAATTGTTCCGCACAAAGTTCTAATGGGACCGGGACCATCTAATTGCCCGCCGCGCGTTCTTCACGCATTAAGTCAACCGGTCCTGGGACATCTGCACACTGAAACCACCAAGGTAAAACACTCACATTATCATATTTTATCAATTTGGATCACATCTCCATGCAATAAATTGCCGAGAATTTAATGGAAGTACAATTTTTATTTTTTTGCGGTTAGGATTCAGTACCAAAGTACATATTATTTTATTTTCTTGATCAAGCATTAAAAAACGTTTATATTTAAGTTAGTTATGAGCAGGTGAAGTACATACGCCAGGTTTGGCCTGTAGGCGTTGAAAATGTGCACAGTCAAAATCCGACAACACCTGTTGTCGTGTAGTACCTAATGTTGTGGCTCGTTGAAAGAAAGAAACCCAATTTCACTTTAGTAAATTACCTTCGGCCCAATTTGAATCGGATCACGTTGCGTGCCGTTTCATTCCAATTTGTACGCTTCTCAGATCATGGACGAGATCAAAGAAGGCATACAGTACATTTTTCAAACACGCAACGAGCTTACACTAGCCCTCAGCGCTTCCGGTCACGGCGGCATCGAGGCCGTCATGTGTAATCTTTTGGAACCGGGCGAGAAGGTCCTCATTGCCACCAACGGAATTTGGGGTGATCGTGCCGCCAACATGGCCCAGCGATACGGTAAGTTTAGTAGAAAAAAATATGCTGGTATGCTGGTTTCAATTAATAACAATCAACTTGGTACGTGGTAGGTGCAAATGTGATCCAAGTCAAGACTCAACCAGGGAATAATTTCACGTTAGAACTTTTGGAGAATGCGCTCATGAAACACAAGCCGGTGTTACTGTTCATCGTACAAGGAGAAAGTTCGACAGGGGTTTATCAGCCTTTGGACGGCTTGGGTGAGATTTGCCATAGGTAAATGTTTCTTTTGACATCTCCACACAACACAATACCAAACAACATGGAAACCATGTCGAAACTCATTTTGTCCTCCAACATATTCCAATCACACGATTTTTTCTTTTTCAATTTTCTTTTTTGTACTCCGTTCTAGTTTAGTAATATCTTTGTCGATGTTTGCGAGTTTAGGTACAATTGTCTATTGGCAGTGGATACGGTAGCATCACTGGGTGGCGTTCCAGTGAAGGCGGATGAGATTGGCATCGACGCTATTTACACTGGCTCGCAAAAAGTTTTAGGTGCACCACCGGGAATCACTCCAATTTCTTTCAGCGAAAGAGCTAAGTAAGTATAATAAAATATGCACATAAAATCAACGTGCTCTCCTACAACTTCCTGTTTGCTTTTTTTGCGCTATTTTTCCGCGCACGCCGTCCTAGTTTCTTGTTCTACGGTGCGAAGTAACGAATACGAATTGCCAGTTAGCACAAGAAGGAGAGTAATGTTGAAAACTTTTCGAAATGTGTGTTTGTTCCAAAGTTCGCAGTGGATTTGAGGAGCATTTATTTCTTTTCTTTCCACAGGCAGAAGCTTTTCAATCGGAAGACCGAGGTTAAAGTTTACTATTTGGACATGAAAATTTTAGGCGATTATTGGGCGTGTTTCGATAAGAATCGCCCACGTGTGTAAGTACCCACCACTAACTGAGTGACCTCGTGGACTAAACAGTTTCGAATCAATTCGACAGGTATCATCATACGATATCGACTACGCTCTTATACGGCCTGCGCGAAGCATTAGCCATGGTCTGCGAGGAAGGCATGAACAGTGTGATCGAGCGCCATCAAAAGTGCGCCGACCAGTTGTACAAGGGCCTGGAACGAATGGGCCTGGAATTGTTCGTCGGCGATAAGCTCAAGCGCTTGCCCACCGTGACCACGATTCAGGTTCCCAACGACGTTGACTGGAAGGATGTCACCGCGTACGCCATGAAAACGTAATTGAATGCCCATAAAAAACATGCCACAAAAGACACCGGCACACTCGTCACGCCGAAATCAGTCTGCTGATACTAATTACAATTACGTATGCTTTGTTTTCAGATATCTGCTGGAAATCAGCGGGGGATTAGGTCCAACGGCTAATAAAGTATTCCGTATCGGGCTTATGGGATATAACGCCACACCCGAAAAGGTTGATTTAGTGCTGGAAATATTAAAGGAAAGTTTAGACTATTCCAGAAAACATCCAAAAGCAAAACTTTAAATCACTTATTATTATTTTTTCCTTTAAATATGCTTTTGCTCGCTGTTATTTTGTTTTATTACTAGTTGATTTAAAAAATATTATGAAACGTCAGAAAAATGTCTGAAATAAACACTGCTTGTAACTGCAATTATAAATACGATTTAAATATTAATTTATCAGAAACAAATAATGCACCTTCCTTTGATCCTGTTGTAATCAAAGTAAATTTCGGTGAAGTACGAATTGGGCATGAAAAATCAACCAAAGTTACTATCTCAAACGATGGTGATGTAATGTATTCACCAGTAATTATAATATTAGCATTTAAATTGAGTTCTTTTAGGTGTTGAAAAATTACATTGTTAAACATAACCCGCACACATTGTCAGCTTATCAGTGTTTTCACACCCTGACACGATCGTTTGATCTTACTCCCCATGAGACGACCAAAATAAGAATCACGTACAAACCACTGATAGTATGGTCGCAGGACCAAAACTTCATTAGTATATTATGTAAAAGTAGTGAAGAGCAGGAATTGCACGAAGAGATTCGTCTGGAGGCCAGTGGAAACTCAATTGGTCCACAGTTGCAAATATCTACCAACATGGTCAACTTCAACACGTGGCCCCAGATGCAGTCGAACAAAAAGGCACTAGAGATACGCAACTTGTCGGCGTTCCCGGTGGAATTTAAATTCGACGTCGACGACGCCCCGATGCCGATCTTCGAAATTGTGCCGCACGTTGGCATAGTCGACGGCAATCGACATGTGATCGTTAACATCACGTTCCGCGCGACCACGTTCGGCGTGTACAGTCAGCGATTCTTCTGCATGATTCACAACCACGTAAATGCTCCGTCGCTCTGAAATCACATTAGCTTCGCGCCACTAATGCTCAAATTCGACAGCATCCGCTAATGGTGGATTGTTTCGGCGTCTACTGGAAAACCGAACAGCAGCGAGCCGGCATCAAACACGCCAAGAATCCAGAAATTGTCGAAAATATTTACGACCGATACATGCGAGATGTGCAGGCAATCGTGAAGGAGACACCAGCGTTTTCCTTCAATGATGCATATCTCAACTTCGGCTCGATTGATTTCAAGAACGAAAAAGAAAGCACACTGGTCACTACGTTCACGAACCATCGCCAGCAAGCTGTTATCGTCAAATGGTATCAAGGTATCGGAGACGCGCCCACGTAAACCAATTAAAAATTAATTTCGTTTAATTCATTAATGCAGATGAAGTTTTCAAAGTAACACCTGGTCAAATCGAAATTCCAGCGGAAGAATGTGCTTTATTTGAGTGCAACTTTCGCCCATCAATGATCGACAATATTTACTCGCGCAATTTACTTTGTAATATCTACAACGCTGAGCAGAAATCAGAAACAATTTCTACAATGCCACTATCAGCAATATTAAGAGTTTTAGGTGAAGATATTAACTATATTATATTACAATAATTATTATTACGACCTTTTAACATACAGGACATTCATTTAGTGAACATAACTCTTGGGTACCACAATTTCAACATAATCCTGGATCTGTAGTTTTGCCGCCGGTCCTGCCTGGTGATACTTGTTTTACTACTTTGGAATTGCGATCCGCTGGTTATTTGCCGACAAGTTTCAAATTTATATCGCCCACAACTAGGTTAGTACTCGGTTTCAATCCAAACCAATCTTGTTTTTATCGCTCAAACCTAATTTGACTTTATACGTGTAGTAACTTTTTGTTGAAACCTATGATGGGCACTGTGCGAACTTCAACTATTGTAGTCGTACAACTAGTGAGTTTTCCAAATGAAAAACCTAAAATGTACTCTGAGCAGTGGCACATCTTGCTGAACAATGACAAGAATCATAAAATACCAATATGTCTCAAAGGATACGCAGCTTATCCTTCTGTTGAGATTGGTCAAAATAACACAATCATTATTAGAGGAGTTCAAGTTGGTTGCGAAGAAGTTGTTTCAGTATCGATTCGTAATACAAGCCAATTTCATGTACAGTAAGTTTTAGACGCCAATTCGAAGCCAATAAGAAACTTCAAACAAACATGACGTTTCAGTTACGAATTTATGACCTGCGATTTACCTGACGAAGTCAAAATTCTCACCCCGACGGGTTCACTCACATCAAATTCAGCTAACACGATTAAAGTATCCTTTAAAAGTTCCGCACGCGTCTGCAAGCAATTTCCGGTTACCTGTCTAGTGTATGCCATCAGGGAGCTGAAGCAAATCCACGGCTCACCGGCCGAGATTTGCGTCACGATCAATGTGGAGGCTGACCATTCCGATTTATGCGTGAGTGGTTTTAATTGCCCTTATCGAGATGCATATTTTACGTCGTCGCTCGGACTCTGTTTAATTGCCAACAATTAACTTTTTTTCTTTAGAGCCTGCCCTCTCGATACGATTTCGGTACGGTTGAGTGTCACCATATCTATTCAAGCGAGTTTTGTTTGTTCAACTATGGCCACACTACAATTCACTACGAACTATCGGTATATTGGAGGCACGTTATGGAGCATTACGAACATGCGACAGTATGGCCCGTATATGGTACTCTGGAACCGAAAGCTCATGTGCATTGTGGTATTAATTTTGGCCCGCATCAACCCGGAGTGCATTACGCCCGCGTTTGTTATAAACTTCGCCCTGATGCCAACGGTTTGGAGACTGTTGAAAATACCGAGAAATTCATTTACGAATTTGAGGCGCAAATTGTTAATCCCTACATTCAGGTTGAGAGTTGATTTGATTTAATTGTTGATTGTAATTGCATGATTTTCATAGATAATAGAAATAGCTGATCACAATTTTGGACCTTTGTTTAGTAAGCGCTCGTTGTGGGAATGCCTCAATATAAACTGGTAAGGAATATTTAATCGACAATTCGTTTGGCTTGCTAAAAAGTGTAGTGATTGAAACGTTAAGCACATTATTGACTGACTAGATGCTACCTATATGGAACGTACTGTAGCCGTAGTTTTGATTAAATTTACTATTTCATTGGTTTCCGAGCGCAAATATGGGCGCTGGCAATCGACAGACGCGCATTAAATAATCAGCAGAGTTCTAATGCAGGTTGAATCATGCATTGGCGGGAGCGCGACACAATGATAGCACAATGTGTATCGATTTGAATCTGCCCGACGCCGAAATGAATAACAAATATTTTTACGTGACGCTAATGGCGCGGAACGTGACGCAATTCGCCGTTCAAGTGTCACTCAAGCGCAAGAAATTATGCGACTGCGAGCTGCAAGAAGTTGGCGCCTTTCTGTCAATTAGACGCCGGGTTTATCAATGTCCGCATCGCCAAATGTGCAAGTTGTCCATCATGGAGGAAACGATTTCGGTGAGCTCGGCTCGTTTGAATAATGCATCAGAGTGACATATGAATTCTTGCAGCCGCTGAGCGTTCAGAGCATGACGCTGCAAGTTAACTATTTCTGCGAGGGCGAAACCACGCTGTCGTACTATTTATCGATGAACGAGAAACGATTCATTATAATGAATTTTAAACTAAATGCGATCGGCGTTGACCAAGCGTGGTTGTCAAAGTACAGTTCTACTTATTGCATACTTTTACAACCCATGTATCTAAACACAAAACAAGCTAATTATTACGTTTACTGGTTTTATAATAATACGAAAACACCTGTGTCATATGAATTAAACGAATTGGAGTTTAATCAAAGTAATAAGAACTACAGATTTGAAGTTTGGAAGTGCCTCAATCCAAGCGGAGTTGTAAAAGAATATGAATCACATCCATTATTGATACATTATCATCCACTCGAAAAGAAGTCAATAGTTGTAAACTTTTAATCATTTCAAAACTTTGAAAAATTTTGCATCTCCGATTGTTTTAGTTACACGTGCCTTTGGCACTTAGCGATGGGCGCAGAATTGAGTTGCACATTCGTGCAAGAGGCACCAGAACAAATATTCAAAACAAAATACCGAAATTGTATCTGCCCGCAGCGATATGTGCTAACGTGCCAGTGCATTTATCGATGGATCGCTTACGAATCCAAGCGTTTCCGGTTTGGAGCTCGACAACACGAATGATTTTCATCACGAACATGTCAGACGACATCCTGGGCTATAATTGGCTCAAGTATGCACCCTCAACCGAGTAGTGATAATTAATTAAATGACTGAAATTATAAATTCCAGGACCGAAGTGGCAGGACTATGCAGCGTTGAGGTAATGGATCCTAATCGCGTCCTTCGTCCACACCAGACGGATGTGATTGTTGTGCGGGTGAAATCATACGGTGTGGCGTGCTCAACTCGCGTCCATTTGCCATGTCAATTAATCAGCCACACGAAATATTTGCAACACCAGAAATCTCTAAAGGATTACCAACGAAGACAACAAGAGATTCAAGATGAATTTATTATCACCGATAAAGGCATTACGTATCCGGTAAGTTATTAAGTTGTAATTTCTGGCAATTACGATAAACTAAACTAAATATTTAGGAAAATGAAGTGATGATATTACCAGAAGCAAAGAGTTTTTACACAACGCTGGCGTTGGAATTAGAAATCAAAAGTTTTGTTGATCGTGATGCTTTTTACTCACCCGAAGAGCAATTCATTCTAGAACCCCAAAGTATATTCCCGGCAAGCATTGATACACTCCCTCACAAACAAAAGCAACCATCAATTGCGTTTCTTTCTAAACCAAACAATGACAAATCGCAATCATCAAGTATATCATTCAATGACGACTTGTACGTTGAAAAGAATTCTGATGAGTTTGATCCGAACATTGATAACGTAGAATTTTATCGACAGGTTATAGAAGCTTTACTTGCGTAAGTATTACTATGTTAAATTCAGTAATTTACATATTATGAAATTTTCTTTTTTGAAATTCCAGTGACGCCATCTTTTCGAATCGATTTCGCGCTGTCCTGGACGTACAAAAACGTGCGGCACCCATATATTACAGTCAAATCCGACCACAAAAAGACTTACCGACAGATATTGAGAAACACCTTGATGACATGTACAACGAACCGCAAATGCCAGTGGTGAAAGACGTCATGCATACTATGTTGCTGAAAAGTTTTGATGAGATATTCGGCCTCAAGACGAAGTTACACGAGAAGGTTATCGACTACAATCGGGAAGTAGACCTACCTGCCCTGCCGTAAACAAAATAAGCGAAGCAAAATATACAGTTTAAATTTATACAACAATATTATAACCGTCAATTATTATTAACTAATAAATGGATCCGCAATCCGTCGGAATACAGCCAAAAATTTATCACCATGGTTCCTTGTCACTTTCTGGCCTTCTTCAGAGCTGGCAAAAAGTTTTTCAACAACAGGATCAGATTTCTGAAATCAGAAAAGTGAGAAAATAGTATTAATAAATTAATTGTTAAAATTTAAAACTGACCAATTCTTCTTCTGTAATTCTTTTGAACAAAGGATGTTCTTCAAAATGCATGACCATCCACTCATGTAAATCTTTTACATCAGTTACTGTGTAAATAATACCACCTTCTGCTACAACATAGGCATATTCTGCTAAAAGTGTCTTGTTGATAATGCGCCATTTATGTTTCGCCTTTTTAAAATGTGGATCTGGATATAAGAAGAAAATCTTTTTCAACTGAAATATAAATTTAACATTAAACATTCCAAGTTTTTATTTAAAAAATAGTTGAATATTACTTGTCCCTTTTCAAAATAGTTGGGTAAATATTTCATTGCATTGGTTCTTATGCAAGCAACATTCTGGTACTCTCCTGGTTTTTGTTCCCTTAGAGCTGCAATTCTATCCATGACATAGTCAGAAACTTTGACTCTAATCTCCATGCCCAGCATTAATGTATCAGGAAACATAGGTGATAATGTGATGAGTAGACCACCATAGCCACAACCAATGTCAGCAAATTCAACTTTTTTCTCTTTTATATTTGTGTAGTATTTGTCCCAGTTCATGTGTTTGGGGCTTATGGGACTACAATTCGATGTAAATCTAAAGGAAACTTAAGACTAATTGGTAATACTTACTAGTCAATGCAATGATCAGCAATTGGATTGGAATGAGCGCGTTGTCGATAGAACTTCTTTTGAGGCAAGATTAATGCTTCACTTGTATCCATATTAACATCCATATTTATTATTCGTTTAATTGATCCTAATAAAATAAAAACTAGTGAAGATACTAAACATAACCAAGTCAAAATTAACGTGCTTGCAAACTTAAACGAAGAAAAATTAAGATTTTGGACACGTTGCGCCCTCTGGAGGTTAAAGTTAACATTAATATGCATTTTAAACAGAATAAAACGAGTTGGGGGAGTTGTTGCGTAAAATTTAAATGTTATTAAATAAAAAATAAATATTTATAATGTTTTGTTATAAAAACGCATTATAAAAGCATCAATTTTGTTTTAAAAGAATTTCAAACTTATAGAGGTCAGCATACATCGTGTGTTTTCGTTTTGCAAGTCGTGTACAATCGACTACAAAGCATCAAACAAGCTAAACAAGCTCATGACAGACTGAAATGCATTGCTTTATTTATCTTTAATCAAATGGTGGTGAGCTAAGGCGCACTCGCTGCCCGATTCCCCGGAAGAAGCGCCCGCGCGACGCTCCTCGCACATTTCTTTCTCCACCCACTTTGGCGCGCAAACTGTCGAGTAACCTGGGCCAACATGAGTTCGGTGAGTGTTTCATACTCTATTACAATCAGCTGCACATGCTACAGAATAGCGCCAAATGTTTAATAATCGCTCATGAAAACAATAAATTATGCAGATGTCGAATAATGTCGAGAATCTCTCGCCACAAATAATACGAGGCATTGTCAAGGAAATGCAGGATCTAGTCTCCAGTCCTCCAGAAGGCATCAAGGTACAAATCAATGAGGAAGATGTCACTGATATTCAAGCATTTATTGAAGGCCCAGCAGGTAATTATCCAATTTTTATTAAAATATTGTAACATTTAAAGATTTACTTAATTTGTTATTCAGGCACACCTTACACAAGTGGTTTGTTTAAAGTAAAACTGACTTTGGGGAAGGATTTTCCACAAACACCACCAAAAGCATATTTCTTCACAAAAATTTTTCATCCCAATGTTGCTGCCAATGGTGAGATTTGTGTCAATACTTTGAAAAAGGATTGGAAGCCAGATCTCGGAATTAAACATATATTACTTGTAAGATAACATTTTAAACATATTGAACTTATAAATTATGATAGCACTTTAATTATTTCAGACTATAAAGTGCTTGCTTATTGTGCCTAATGCCGAATCAGCTTTGAATGAAGAAGCAGGCAGACTACTATTAGAACATTATGATGATTATTCACAGAGGGCGAAAATGATGACCGAAATTCATGCCCAGGTAAATATTTGCTTCATACATATGTTTTACTTGCGTATTTGATCAATATTTTGTTTTCCGTTGGGCGATAACACTAAAAGCCGTTAAATTTAATGATAAGAGGTTTAAATCTAAAATTACGTAATCAAAACTGTCGTATCCGTTTTAATTTACAAATACATACAAATATTCATATCAGACTGTTTATCAAACTGTTTTCACAATGAAGTACAAATACGTTAGGATTACAAACCATGCAATAACAACACTAAACCAAATTACTGTAATGTTTAGTGTAGTTAATTAATTGATTTTATGAAATAATAATTCTACTTATGCTACTTGCAGCCTCAAAAACTATCAAAATGTGGGCCTAGTGAAGGACCAGTTGCCAAAAAACACGCCGGCGACAAAAAGCTCTCCGCCGAAAAGAAGAAAATCCTGAAAGAAAAGAAGCGAACGCTGAAACGTTTATGAAACTAATATTTTCTCTTATATTCTTTTACCAAATAACAGATTTACATTTACACATAAAAACCCATCGTGACAACATTGTACACAGAATGCGTATAGAGTATTATTTTTACAAAACGAAACACGAAACTAGCCGGTCGCGCAAGCGAAATTGTCAAAAATTTGAACGAGTTTTATAAGAGTCTTTATTTTTTATTTTTAGTTAAATTTTAAGTAATAGTTGTATTAATTTAATGAAAAAAAAAACACTTACAATTCGGGCAACTAAGAAGTAGCATGACTGGAAGATGTACACAAAGTGAAAATCAAAACTCAGTCTCTTAAATACATTACTATTATTTTGTACAATAGTGACAAATATTTAACTTATGTGAGAAGATGCGCGTGTGTTCCTGAGTCATTGGTTCGTAGTTCTTAGTTTGAAGGTGTTTTGTGACTGATCTTCCCAAAAATTAATTTTATTGAACAAATTTTAATTCAGTTGGACGAAATTTAGATTAACATAGCCACATGCAGATGCAAATTTCCTCATCAACGTCAATAAATAAATAAATTTGTTCTAGTGAATGTTATCTTTGGGTTTTGAGGTGTTGATTGAAGGTAATTTGCATTTTGACGATTAGTACGTAACCATGCACCAAATTGTGTCTTTACTGCTGCTATTATTTACAACCGTTGAGGTATATTTTGCCAAGTAATTCAGTTTCTCTATTTAACGTGTATTGTGAATATGTATATGCACCAAGTGCAAACTAAACGGATCATTGTGTTATTTAAGTTTAACGGATACTTGATACTGTGTGGATGTGTTGCAAATAGGGAATATGGAAAAGAAAGTAATAAAAGGATTATTTATTTGAAATAAAAACCTGTAAAACTGAACTGCTATGAAATTTACTTCATCAAATGGCCGAAGAACACTGCGCGAACAAGTCGACTCTTGGGGAGAATATGTCTAATAAATATGAGTCTCAAGGAATTTTCGTAAAAAATATTTATTTTCTCATGTTTTTCACCGAGATCTGGCAGATTTCTTCTTCGTTGTGTTCGCCCATTGCAATATTATTATTTGCGTCTTGTCTGTATTTGTAATTTTAATACTGCAAGTATACAAAACAACAATAACATGATATTAATAATTCAATGCCAGGTTCCAAAGAGATATGAACATCACATCTTGAACACCGCTTGGTCGTTTTTCAGGTTTCATATAAAACGGTTTATTTATTTTTACACATTAAACGAATTGTTAGAAAATCAAGTCACTAATTTCTAGCAGTTTACTTAAATCGCATTTCATTATGGAGTAGTTTCTAAATCGTCACGCATAAATGATTACAAATCCAACTACTATGTTTGGTTACATATTCGTAATTTAACATTTGTTTGATGAGATTATACTTGTGTTCAAGTATCTTGTTCCTTTAAATCATCAAGCAAATGTTCGGCAAAACTACATTTGCCTTTGTCAATAGTTTGGTTATGCACACACATGTGCAATTCCAGAATGAAATCAATTTCAAACATATAAAACGAACAAAAAATGTGCGCGCACGTGAATTGCACATGTATTTTACATTTGGATAGTTTCTCTTGGATATCTTAAAACTTTTAACTTAAAATTACTTTTTTAAGCAACATAATTCTACGCGACTATTTCATTTCGCTGGTGTACGCATCCAATTCGGCGTCGAGTTCTTCGGCTGTGGGAGCTTTCTTTTGATTGCGGGGATTACTGCTTCGTCCACGCCCACCTAAACAAAAAACCATCGTTCGTCAGTAATCATTCCTCAATCGATGCGAATTTGATGTTGGACATTCAAAATCGTCGTCAATTCAGCAGATTCCTTTACCTCTTCCAGTTCGCATACGGCTAACTCCAGAGCCTCGTCGCTGACCTCCTCGATTCACGAATTTCCCGGTGGGCCCCGATGGGACGGAGGGCCTGAGCACGGTGGCAATTTCCGATGTGGTGATTTGGATGTTCATTGCGCGTCCGTCGAGCGGCACGCCATTGTACTGCTTCATTGCCTTGATCGCGTCCAAGCGTCGTTCGAAAATGACATCGGCAGTGCCCAGGGATCGGCCTGACCGATCATAGTGAACGGACGCATTCTTGAGCGGCCCAAATTCGGCAAACAGCTCTTGTATGTCCGAATTGGAAACGCCGAAATCAAGATTGGACACGAGAAGCTTGGTCGGGCCTTTGCCAAGCGAGACTGCGGCGCGAGCAGCCGCAAGTTTTCGCGGGCCAAAGCCCTCGAAAAGATCGTGCTTCCAAGCACTGTTTACGTCTCCCTAAAGAAACAGATCGAATAATGTTGTGGTCAGATTCCTGAATTGGAATTTTGGTTTTTGGTTGATTGATTTGTGGCTGGTTTAGATTTGCTATTATTGCCCAACAGTGAAGAATAAGGGTACAGGTTTGGAGACGCTCGCACGTATGCAGCCCGTCCTCGGTAGAGAACCAAGCGCGTCCTCAACGTTTCCATACAGCACCGTTCGCCCACGAACGTCCCAAATTACACATGTTCTATAACTGGATTTGAGTTTTTGGTTTAGTTCAAGTCAAGTGAATTACCCTGTTGTATGATCCTGGCATGCCGCCACCACGCGTACGGCCGGCTTGTACACCGCCGCCTCGTGTGGTGCGTCTGCGATGGAAAGGGGAGACACCGCTACCGGGGCCACCGCCACCACCGCGACGCGGGCTGTTGCCCGGGCGTCCACGGCCTCCCCGTTTACCGCCACGGCCACGGCCTTTGCCGGTTTTGATAATATCGTCGAGACTCATTTCAATCTTGTCGACCATCTTCGCTGAGTTTTAGGACACGTACGCTTGATAATGCTTGTAAATTTCGTAATGTTTCGACACTACACAATGGCGGACACGATGCTTGGAATTAGCGGGCACTTTTGCTTGACAACGACGGAGCAGACGAAACGAACCGCAAATGGCGACTGACGAACGGAACACGGAAAGAGAAAGATGTAATGAAGTGCCGCCAAGCCAAAAATGTCACAAGGCGCACGCGTATAGAAGAGCGTAGCATGCACTAGCGACCTCTATGACAAACCATTGCCAGGTGTTCATTAATATTTTAAAATAAACAACATCTACAGCAACCAACACAATAAAACTTAACTATTGCTTTTTAAATTATCAAAATTAAACTAATAAGAGCAATATTATCTTTATTCCATATCGATACATGTTTAAATTTACAAAAAGCAAAGTTTAATCATGGCAACACTGCGGATATATTGACTGCACAGTTTTCCTGTGCGCACTTTACGCTCCAACTTCGTTCATTTTCCATTACTTTTCAACTCACAGAAATCGAACTACAGATTCTGAGTGCTTCTGTTTGACGCTATTATCAATGTACATACACTCCTTGCGCTCTGCGCATATAAGCAATTACCGAATGCGGCTAATCCAGTGATATTTCACAAGAAATTTAAATATTGCACGCGAGTAATTTTGCTACAGTCAACTAATCGCAAATTAATATTGAAAGACATGTAAGTTGGTCGTAATAGGGCTGAGTCTTTACTTCTTTTCATTCACAAATTTCCACCAGAACAATTTCACAGCAACGTTAATGAGATCACGTACACTCAACTTGACATTGAAATAAATTTTGAATGTTTGCGCAATATTTAGAGAGATTTAAATTTAATTGCATTCAACATAGTTTTTGTTGTCATATTATAATTATTTATTGATAGTTTGATCGTTAAATATTTTTTGCTTTTGTTTTCACTTATGTACGAGCAAACGTATTACGCAAACATTAATATCATCAGTTTTGATAGCAGTTAAAGTGTTAAGCAAACAACATCAAGTTACGCTAACAACAAAATAAGTTCATTATCAATCAACGGGCTTTTCGTATGTCCACCCGAACATAATGTAAGCCTACAAACAACGTCCTTTTATCTTGTTCAACGCTATTTAAATTATTTATGTATGAGAGATGTATTGTACATTGTACAAATATTTTGGGCTCTCACGTCGTGTAGTTCAACGTTGTATATTCGTCGATTCAAACTATAATTAGAATATAGAAAAGTTTTTCATTTTCCACCAGCACACGCAATCGAAAGCATAAAACAAATTCTTTTTAGCTCATTACTGGGTCCGAGTAAGTACCGAGTTTGAGACATCCGGCTGCGCGTTGCAGTACGAAAATAACCGCACAAAAATTAAAATTTGTCAATATAGTGCATCATTAATGTGCTGCAAACTTCAGTCCAATTAAAAGAGTGACATTTACTGTTTGTTAAAACACGCTTTTAAGTAAGTAGACGAGGATAAATCATGGGTGATCAAAATAACTTGGCGCTGGGCATCGACATTGGGACTACTTCGGTAAAAGTGTGCATTGTTAACACGGACACCAATGAAATTATCGCCAAGCATGGCAAGGACACTCAAGCGAATGTGCCCAGCGACCAAGGTACCGATGGTAACAAACAAGATGTGCCAAAAATCATCTCAGCGCTTAATACTTGCGTGGCCAAACTCAACAAAGATTTATTGAGACAAGTATGGTGCATTTTAGTATTTTTCTAAAAAAAATAAATAAATAATTTTATTTATTTTGTTTTGTTCAGATTAAAAAGATTGGTGTTTGTGGTCAAATGCATGGTGTGATGTTATTTAATCATACAAGCGAAGCACCAGCTTGGGACCGCCATGAACGTGATGGAGCCTTGATTCGTTACGATGTCGTTCAAAAAAATGTCTCTAATTTGTATACGTGGCAAGATAGTCGATGCGATTCCGAATTTATGGCGAATTTACCAACGGCACAAAGCCATCTTGCAACTTATACTGGATATGGTATTGCGACATTGTTTTGGATGGCCAAAAATAAGTAACTATATAACAATACACTTTATGTATTTATTTATAAAGTACTTATGTTGTTTTAGACCTGATAAACTGCAACGTTACAATTGTGCGTCGACAATACAAGATTTCGCAGTAATGATGCTATGTAATCTACAGAAACCTATTACCTCGGTACAATTAGCCGCTAGTTGGGGTTATTTTGATTGTAAAAACAGCAGCTGGAATCTAGAGATACTGGAAACTGGTGGATTTCCAATGAATTTGCTACCTGATGTTGTCGAAAGCGGGCAAGTAGCGGGCGAATTAGCAGACAATTGGCACACGATCCCAAAAGGCACCCCTGTGGGGGTCGCATTGGGGGATTTACAATGCTCGGTATTATCTACAATTGAAAATTTTAAAGACGCTGTTTTGAATATTTCAACTTCAGCGCAAATGACATACGTTGTTGAGAACTTTGAACCCACTAATGACGCGCCTGTTGTGCGCCCGATTGAATATTTTCCGTATTTTGATGGTAAATATTTAGCCGTTGCGGCATCCCTCAATGGCGGAAATGCTTTAGCTACATTTGTTAAAACTCTACAGCAATGGTGCATGGAATTGGGATTTCCTGTACCACAAGGTTTGCTTTTTTTTATGGCAGATTTGTAATAAGATAAATATAAATGTAAAATTTTAGCTAAAGTTTGGGATAAATTGATGGAATTAGCCGCATCTGCGGAAACTGATATGGTGATTCAACCGACGATTTTGGGCGAGCGCTACATGCCTGATTTGACAGCTTCAGCTACAAACATCACCATTGGAAATATTGGTCTTGGACAAGTGTTTCGCTCGATGTGCCAAGGATTGTTGCACAACTTGCATGGCATGATGCCTCGCGACACGCTGATTGAAGCAGAGATTACACGGATTGTCGGCAATGGATCGGGCTTATCTAGAAATAAAGTGTTACAGCAGGAGGTACTGCAGTTATATCAACTGCCATTGGTGTTCACAAGCGGTGGAGACGCCGCAAAAGGTGCCGCAATGGCAATGAAATAAATAGCAACGAATAAAATATAATTACGAATGAACAAGGAGTGATAACGCGGTATTACACAGAAATTATGCATAGAAAACAATAGCAAATATGCCTTAAGCATGCCTTACAACAAGAACATCCAATATTTATAAAGTTTGTTGTTAAATTGTTAAATTTAGACATTGTTGAGTAAATAATAATGGTTATCTCACACATAATTAACAAATGCACCAAAACCAGACGTTATATAATAATGTAATACGTTATTCGTAGAGATTTATAGAGATTCATGGAGAGTAAATGAATATTTAAGTATTAATAAGTATAAAGTAGAAGAACAATAACAGCAAACTCCAAAATGGCGACAATTTCAAAATGAACTAGCTGTGATTTAAAATCGAAACATATCCAGGCCGGTCCAAGCAATCCAAGAAAAAATAAATGCTTTATAAAATACAGAAATCAATATTTAAAGCATTTTTAGTCATACTTTATTAGCCTCCTCTCTCCACACTGTTTCCAAACTTATGACCAATTCCCTGTCGGTCATATGTCGCAGAAAACGCAGGATCTATACTGTTGTCAGGTATGATAATTTCCAATTTCGCGCCATAATCGTACTCGTCTACCTTTAAGTTTGGCCTTTGAATTGAGGCATGTAAGTATAGGTTAATGCCGTTCAATGCATTAAGTGGTTGATTCACAGCGAAACCAAGTTTGCAAGAGATTACTGCTGTCTTCAATGGTTTAATAATAAAATTAATAATAAACAATGATATATACTTATTGCCATTCAAAAAATTGATGTAAATAGTTGTTAGAATTGAATATTAATTGAAAAGTTTGTAAATAACATTTGTTTTAGGACAAGTCAGAAATAAAACTGGAATAATGAATATTTTAATCAATAAACAAAACAGTGATTTTTACATTGGACTATCTCTGGCCTTAGTATCTACTATATTCATTGGATCTAGTTTTATTATAAAGAAAATTGGTTTACAAAGACTCACACATAGAGGTTCTTTACGAGCTGGTGCTGGAGGATTTGGATACTTAAAGGAATGGATATGGTGGCTTGGCCTCATTACCAGTATGTACTGCAATTTACTTTATTATAACTAATCTATACTAAGTCTCAATCAAATATTAACAACACCTTTGTTTCGTTTTTTTTAAGTGGGAATAGGTGAATTGGCAAACTTTGGAGCATATGCATTAGCTCCAGCAACATTAGTATCACCTTTAGGAGCACTAAGTATTCTGATAACATCAGTTTTAGCATCAAAGTGCTTAAATGAAAAGTTAAATATTCTAGGAAAGGTAAGTTTTACGCTATTTTAGTTATATTGGGAACTTCAAATCATATTTCAAACTTTTAGCTAGGTTGTATTCTATGCATCTTGGGATCAACCATTATTGTGATACATTCACCAAGAGAGGAGTCAATATCGGACGTTGCTTCACTTCTCGAACGTCTTCGGTCCTCATCATTTATATTTTATTCACTTGTAGTCATTTCATTGTCAGTACTGATTGCATTCCATTTGGGTCCTCTCTATGGCGAACAAAACGTCGTTGTTTATTTGCTGCTTTGCGCGAGCATTGGCAGTCTTACCGTGATATTATGCAAGGGACTTGGACTTGCACTGAAGGAGTCTATTGACTGGCCATTCTACGTGTTTTTTGTTCTTATGTGCTGTTGCCTACTAGTACAGATGAATTACTTAAACAAGTCATTAGATTTATTTAATACGAACATAGTTACACCGGTATATTATGTTTTCTTTACGAGTTTTGTGATTATTGCGTCGTCAATTGTTTTCAACGAGTGGCACGGCTTGAAAACTGAAGATATTTTAGGGAATTTATGCGGTTTTACAATTATTATCATCGCAATATTTATGTTGAACGTTTTCAAAGATCTAGATGTGAGCATGGGGAGTTTATTTCGCCAGAAAGCGTCTAAATATCATGGCTATCAAAACGTTTAAACGCTACACTTAGTTCGACGTTCTGCGCCAACAAATTCTAGTCTTTCGCGTAAACTCAACCGTTTATGACGTGTCATCTGTGGCACGAATTTTATGTGGGCAGCCATACCAAATAACTTACAAACGGTAGCCCCAACCTAGTGCGCAATTAAGATGTTACAGCCGTTTGTCATCAATTAGAGATGAAGTCAACTATAAAATCCTATCTTAGTCTCGAATATTTTAAATTCTTATTTACAATTGATCGCTAGCTAGTCATTCAGATGTGAAATTTACGCGTGACTGAATTTATTTCGTTTATTTGCCAAAACAAATGTGTGTAGGTTTAGATTAACCCATTAATTTGTTTGCTTGCACTGGCTATGATGATGATGATGTAGAGTTAATATTGTAAAATGTGCTGACAAATCTTTGGGTAAAACCAGTTACAAAAAATACACAAACAACGATTTGAAAATTCTGATTGTAATAGTCATCTTCACAATTTGCAATTACTCAGCATGACTAATATAAGTGAGTTATTTATTTTTCTGCAGCATATATTACACTATTTATTTTCTTAGAAGAAAAAATTATAAAAGTATATAATAATCAGTGCTATGTCACTCCAAATAAAATTGTACACATTTCTACGCAATACTTCGATTTTGCAACATGTGTTCGTGTCCTCACGCGTCAAGTCCTCATCCTTTGCACGTGATTCACACTCGTTAACAGAAATATCTCTAAATCGATAACAAAACAGAATGGAAGGAATATAACGAGCTATTGAAATACTTAATACCTAAATAAACTGTAGTTATCTCAGTTTAAAGCAATAGACGAGCGAATTCTTCGTAATTGATTTTCCCATCTTTATCAGTATCGGCCATTGTTAGAAACTGGGTAATTTGTTGTTCCGTAACAGGTTCACCAATGGTTTCCATCGCAGTCTTTAACTCATCACGTGTTATGTATCCATTGTGATCTAGGTCAAAAACGCGAAACGCGGCCATTAGGTCTTCCTGACTGCTGTCTTCCTCTTCAGACGGGAATAAATCCTGTATTCGTTTCACCCATAACATAAACTCAGCTTCATCCAACAGGTCTTTACCTAAAGTAAATCTTTTAAGATAATTTATTGCACTTTTGTTTTGGATATACCTGAATGACTTGCAGCTCGAATTAATTCTATTAAAGTGCTTTCCTCGAGAGTAATTCCAAGACGACTGAGCATTCTGCTCAATTCATTTGTATTCAGGCGGCCATCTTGATTAGCATCGATTAAGTCGAATGCAGTGCGTAAATCTATGAACAGGAATTGTTTATATTTAGGAAATAAGTCCTTTCTGCAGGACAATTAATAAGATGCGAGTTGTGTTGGTCCAACGCAACGCAGTATTTATAGCCAACGCGCCTCCATCACAGCAAAGCATGTTATTTATAAATTTAGCTATTTCAATTCAAAATTAACTTATAAATAGCAAGAACATATATATTGTTTCACACATTTCTCACCAAAATACGAGACAAAACAAAAACTCATCAAAAACAACAAATTTTTACCTTGTAATTCGTTCTCCGTGAATCGTGTCTCTTTACAGCCTGTGTTCTGTATGATTGATACGAATCGAATTAAAACTGTGCAACTTAAATGCGAAATGTGTTTTTCTCACCTTTTTGTTTATTACTTTAGCCATTTATTAAACTAACACGGAATTACAACCGGGAGCAATCACAGAAGCTTTTTGATGTTATAGCTGTTGTGCATTCCCTCCGAGTGCAAATGCTACGACGGCGCGTTGTTTACTAAAAGTTGACGAAAATCGCGTGCAGGATGTGTACGAGGCTCCGTCGTCTCACGAGCGCGCGCACAATGCAGCGGCAGGAGCGCAGCTGGTAAGAGCTGGTGGAGATCGTTTTTGGCACCGATGTCCACACATCGTTATACACGAGATATGCGAAATAACTTATTAGGAACGCGATAGTCACACACATCGAGGCGTTGAAATACATTCACAAGTTCATCTCATGTCCGTCAGGAAATTCTAAGTATATTTTTGAAATATTCAAGATGGAGACAGGTACTCAATCAATCAAAACAAATTCTACATATATTCTTAACTAAATATCAAGGTTTAATACAACAAAGTCGACAAGATAAACATTTAGACGCTATTGGCGCAAATGATAAACTAATATACAACTAAATTACCAACATAATCTCATATGGTACAGCTTGAGCTCAAATCAATCATAATTTGAGATGAAAATTAAACTAGTGTTACTAGCGCCCTTAAGCAAGTCTAAAATTAAATATATAATCTTAATTCTAACTCTAGATTGTGTTTATGCTTTGTCTAGATAGAGCCACTTATGTTAACATCTAATCGCTGGACGTGACGACTGATAATGTGATCACAACGAATCAGGAACAAAAACCACGGTAATGCAGACTATTGTATCAAATATAAACCGAAAACCACAGGTGCAAAGTCGAAAAGTCAAACAAATTCGTGTTTTTAGTGCCGCTACTCTACTGATTAATAATTTTAGAATTATTAACTTTTATGTTTACAAAATATAGTCTGTTGCAATCATTGTTTCTTTTATTTTATGTTTACTATAGTTTATTTGTTGATTACTGATAAGCGCAATATTTAAGCTTCGGTGTGGGCGGCGGTGTAAAGCACTGGCGATGGTTTCTCGCTGTTCCCGTTACCATTCGCCAGCTGAGCATAGAAGCGTTGATTCTCCTGTCGCTGCATCTCGGCTGCAGTCTTCAAACGTCTGATGGACTTAGCCAACATAAATGCGAAGATGACTCCCAAAAGCTAAACATTTATGCATTGTTAGAAAAAGTTTTGAATTTTTTTTTAAATATGAGTTACCTGAACAATGGCCACACAGATACCACCTGTTCCTACTAAACCAGCACATTCACTCACGATAAATGACAGCTTGTTCAAACAACCACTCTTGTAATAAAGATCAGCACCCAGTACTCTATGATCAATGTTTTACATGAATCTGGCGGTGTTTGCTCACCCCAATCGTTGAAGCTATCAATGCCACAGCATTCCAACTAAAATCGTCACATGTTATTTACTTGTAAGTTTAAATTATTATTACATTAATTTATACCTTGTCTTGTAAGAAATTCCATGCTTCCTTGGAGCTTTCATCTGATTCGTATTTATCAATAGAACTGCGCATAGCATCTTCAACGTATTCACCAATGTTGCCACGCATTGAATACGCTGCAATGGCGGCGGAAATTTCAAGGATGAAAATCATACCCAAAAGGACACCATACTACAATAAACAAACATAATAATGATTTGTGGCAATTTACAATGTTTGAGTATTAATTATTTACCGTATTAATAAGACATGTGCTTTTCTTGATGGCGCCGAAGCAACCGAACAACGAAACGAAGAAGATGATGACGCCAATGGCGATCAAAAGTGCCGCCGGGCTGAAATAATGCTCAGCCATGAACACTTGGAAATCATTGTAGATAGACGTGATTGTGCTGCCCACGGAAATTAGCAAAAAGCCAATTAGCTAAAAAATACATTTATCACAATCAACAAAATGCATACTAGTTAAAATATATTTGCATCGTCAACAATGCGCTATTAATTTTAAAAAATGGTTGGAATTTACTTATAGACAAGTTGCAACGCAACATTACGAAACTTTTTTTTAGATAATTTACAGACCAATTGCGTGAAATTGAACAATGGTGTAATTTTTCATTAATACGTTATCGTCAATTTTCCTAGATTCCGATTATAAGCTTTTCGTTTATACTGTTACCAATCGATTTTCCACTTAAATGTTTAACTGCTTGAAATCAATAAAATAATCTACGACGGCATGCAATGTCAAGTTTACGAGAACTGTTATGTAGAACTATATATTGATTGCTAACTGACGCTTTTATGCAAAGCGTGGGTTTAGAAAAATCGAACGATGTCAGCAAAGTGCGATGACAAAAGGCTAGCAAATACGCGTGTGAGTTATTCGTTTAACGAGCATTTTATAGGCAAATTTATTAGGTTTTAAATGTTTCCAACTGCGACGCCGTTTGAGATATGCAACGTATTCGCTGCAATTAAATCGAAAATAACAACAACGCCATCATGTTTTTCCAGCAGTCGCGCCATATTTTTTTTGTTCAAATGTACATTACAAGTACATATACTATTATTTAAGCTGACGTGTTCGGCGTGTGAGCGCGTTATCAATTTATATGTGTACATGTATACCTGCACGTTACACACACTGCAATGATCAATATTGAAACAAAGATAAAGATAAGAGAGGCCTCGTTATAGGTTTTTTGGTACCTGCTGATTTTTTTATAAATAATTATTCATTAACATATTATTTATTTGCTTAGAAAACTAAACAAAACTATTCAAAATGGTAGTACGTATGTTTTTACTTTTACGGTGCCATTTTTTTGGGGAAAACTTGAAAAGTTTCAAAAAATACTCACGGCAAACATAAAGTTTGTAGTAAACAGCATGTACTTGATGCACCGCATCCCGACGTCGATGTCCTCCTTCATTTTGCGCGTCGCACTTTTTCACACGAGCGGAATTTAAAACAATACTTGAAACGCAAACGATGTGCACGAAACGAATTTGGCTGGCGTACTGGTAGGTCGTGCGAGCTTGCGGTACAAGTGTGTCGCACAGGTGAGTCTGTTATCAACGCTCAGCTATGTGATGATAATGCGCACGCTTGCCGCCCCGATAAACTATACAAATTAACTTTTGCGTTATTGTTTTATACTGCTTCCATATAAAGCAATACACGTTTTCAACGTACGCAGCGAGATGAAAAGAAATGATTTCTGTCGACGAGAATTTGAATCAGGATTTTGTTATAAGAGTCAATTGCGTTGTTGCCCAGCAATGTAGAAACAAATACATCTACTGATACACGTTTATTGAACGCGTTGTGAAGCCAGCGTGCGCTCTGAAGATGGCGCCGGGTTCAAAGCTTAGAGCAGAAGGACTGATGTATGGGATTTTACGCTGGTTGTAAGGCAGCGGAGAGTCTTAGAGGTGCTCGGAGAAGTGAGGCGATCTTCACTCGGTGTTTGCTCGGTAACTACTAACTTTATTCTTCCAAAATATCTAAGTGCAAAACTATGCGTACATATTTGACCGAGGGCGCAGTGACCCTTCGTGATTTGTACAATCTTGAGATAGCTTAATTACTATGCGTTAAGGAATGACACTTAGATGCCGATTTACAATCTTATTTGTCTAATAGAGTCCCAGCGATATATAATTGTTAGCACAAGGGTCAGTGTATGACGTGATGGACCCTTGCTCATCTGCGAATGTGTTTACTATCTACATACTATCTACGTATCTACTGTATTTCTAACATTAAGTGTGTTGATATACATATTATGATGTTATTCTTGTTATTGCACCATTGTATGCCCTAATTGTATTTATTGTCTACGTCCGCGGCGACGCACCATCGGCACTAAATAACACACCACACAGAATTCCTGAGAAGTTGGAAAACTTCTGCCGCTTTTCTGTTGGCGGTGCAAACACGCGTTGAATGTTTTAAATATGTAATGATCGGGTTGTTGAGGGCTGTGGTCAACGTTTTTTTATCGCATTTTATCGATTTTATGGGTATTAGCTTTATTCGATCATCATTAATTCAAATAGCAATTTGTGATCTATGTAACACAAACAGACTCATTGAAAGCGTGGTGTGTGAGTAGAGAGAGTACTGATTAATTAAACCAGGCTCGTGTGGTTAGAATAATTAGCCTGTTTTATTAATTAATCACACGTGTAATAATCTTGTAGAGCACAGGGCTTGACTGTTGAAGGTGTGCCAAGGACTTTATTAGGGCAAATATGACGAAACAAAGAAAAACAAGACATTGTTTTATTGTGTTTTTAAAAACAACATGTTTTTGTTTGAAGATTATAAATAAACAGAAAAATATAATAAAATAAAACATGTACAAACCAAAATCGATGATGCACTTGACATGCTCATCAGGGTTTATGACGTCAATGCATAATTAACAACATTTATCTACAAAAATCAATAGAAATATTCAATAATTTCGTTGTCGCAACTCACGACCATGTAAAAAATAAGATAAAATAAAAAGATAGGAATCACGTACAGATTAAGTAATTTCCCTTGAAATTTTATTTAAAAAAACATATTTTTCCATCATTATCTAAATACATACATGAATTTGAAGCGTTTTGAGAATAAAATATTTAAATATCAGAGAGCATTTCCTCCAGTCAATTGGAAGTGTTGGCCCACATAAACATGTAGAGCAGTCTAAAGGGTAAAACCCGGAAACTTTGCCTCCATAGGCTTTTGAATGTCAATCAATAAATACATCGGTCCGGCGATGCCTTCGTACAATGATAGAGGACGATCTGGTACGTATTCTTCATGCTCCTTAGTGTAATCCACACACCATTCGGCAAACTTAAGCGCCCTGTACAGATGTTTTAATTCCTGCAACATGCAAACATGGCAATAAAGATAAATAAAGTTAAAAATAAACTGCGCACGTACATTCGTTGTTTGATACAGTTCGAGGAAACAATACGCGTTTCCTGATACACCGTGACAAATACTGTAACCTTTGCGTAAAAGTCCACGCTGCCAGACGACGTCACCAGCTTGTAGAGCAAGCTCCAAATATGATGGATCTTTAAAGACCTTTACAAAAAATGCAATCATTATTTTGTTTTTATATTTTCCACAGACATAACCTACTTTGTACGCTTGTGAAAACAAGTATAAAAATCCAGGTGCGCCATGACACCACTGCACGTACTTATCACCACTCTGAGACTCCAGAGAAGAAGGATAATTTCCACTAGGGAATCTCAAAGTGGCAAGATAATTAACGGTGGGTCGGATCAATTCATTCAATTGAGTTTCATCCAAATACTGTGGCACTTGTAGCAAGAGGTACAAAATGCCAGTAAGACCATGAGCAGCACCCAAGTAGTAACTATCATGCCAGTGATACATAAGTGGTGGCTTACTGCCCAATTCCAATGACAATTTATTGCCTGCTTTTAACATAGCATCAATTACCTATAAATTTATTGTTTGCTAGTTTTAATTCAACTTAAAAACTACGAAATCTTACTCCTTTAATTACAGATTCTTCAATTGGTGGTGGAGAAATATTTTTGTTAACATACAAGAGAGAAAATAAGTATCCAGCTCTCCCATACAAGTACTCATTAGCCACATCAGCTTTATAGTTCACTGCATCAGTTTTCAAACCAATAAGATTTTTAATAATACTTTTCACCTCTGATTTGTCACCCATTTCATTGCAAACAACTGCTCTTATAGCCATTGCACCAGTATCTCCACACAAGAAAGTGAATCTTCGCTTTGATGGAATACTACTGGTCTGAGTATAATCTTTAGCAAACTTTAAATATTCTGGATTCTTTGCATCTTTTTGTAAATATAACATTGCAAGACCAGCTGTGCCAGTGTAAACAGATGCATCTTTCTTGTATTTCTCAATATATTTATCAATTTTTGCTGTGATTGACTGCCACTTTGCATCCACGCATTTTCTTACCTTGTATGAAGGCATAATCTAAAAGTATGAGAGTTGGTCTCTTGATGTTTAGTTATACAGATTCAAAACTTACCTCATTTCCATCTAGAACATCAAGAGCAGCCTGATCACAGTAATCAGGAAAAGGATTCTCGAAGTGTTTGCGTTTGATCTTCAACGACGACATTATGTGCGAGCACCTGTTAGACTTGTTTACTAATAATGCACCTACCGGTGCTAATGAAAGGTGCAACACAAGTGGTGCAAGGGGTGTAAGAGGAAACGGGCGGATGACTTGAAGGCGAACAGACGAAAACAAATGCGTCATTTAACCGGTATACTTGGCGTGTTGCTTAAAATAATTTATAGGAGAAAGAATAACAGTCTTACAGTTATCAATTAGCACTGTGTGCATCAAAACGTTTGTTCTATGTTTATAAATCCAAAAATAAATTGATATTTACCTGTGCGTTTTTACACTTTCAAATTTTGAGTTACAGTTTACAGAATTCTGTATGACAATAATGTCATTTAAATTTGTGATTTTTATTTATTAGGCACTGATGTGTATTCAAACATATTTAATTAACTGTTCTAACGTATTAAATAATTGGAGATTATTTATTTAACCATTTTATTGCTTTTATTTTAGAATTTTAAAAGAATTAATTTCTGATACTTGGTCTAGATGGCGGCGTATTGCCTAAGTGGGAGGGCATAATGGCGTCGACGTTTGACAAGTACTCCCAGTGTGATGTTGTTTTTAATTTGTATCGTTAATCAAACGCGCGTTTATCAATGAGTACGTGCACTTAAAGCGCGTTGTCGTGTTCTCCTACGATGTCGGACTCAGAAGGGCCGATATGCTACGTACTGGTGGTTGGATTTCATCACAAGAAAGGGTGTCAAGTGAGAAATATATTGTACTGTCACCTAGATGTAAGTTGTTAAACAAAATTGTTTCTTCTAGGTGGAATATTCATATCCACCGCTAGTGCCGGGCAGTCCTAATGAATGCCCTCCAGGATGGAAGTATCTACCAACTCTGGCACTGCCAGATGGTTCTCACAACTATGATGATGACACTGTTTTCTTTCATCTACCCAGCTTGGCAAAACCCAGACACACAATCTATGGTATTTCATGTTTTAGACAAATTCCCATTGAGGTAAATTTTGAATTAAAGTTTAATGATCAACTATAGTAAATAGTTGATATTTTCGTAGAAAATAAAAAATGTTACTTCTGATATTACAAGAGGCACAGTACAAAAATCAGTATGTGTCTTAAGTACATTGCCTCTTTATGGTCACATACAAGTTAAAATGGCATTGATAACACATGCTTATTTTGATGAAGGAGATTTTAGCAAAGTATCACTACTTCAAGATACTTATCATCATTTAAACAATGTTTTACTTCAAAATGAATCACCATTACAACATTTTGTTGGTGAGTATGCAATAAAAAAATACTTTATATAAATAATATGATTATTTTTACTTTATTCTTAGGTTTATCTCCTAGGGATTTTGTTCTACAATGGCGCCACAAGGCTGTTTTATTATTTAAACTTTTACTGTTAGAAAAACGCGTTATTTTCTATAAATCACCAGTGCATCCTTTATGTTCAGCAATATTGACTCTTCTTTCACTTCATCCTGGCATGATTGAAAGTGGACTTGATGAATCAGCTTGTATTAAGTAAGATGACTAAACTAGTGTTATCTGAAGCTTGGTAATATTATCACTATTTGTGTTTATATATTATAGATTATCCAGACCAATGTCACCAATGCCGAATTTTTCTGATGACGAATGCACGCCGGAATCTACACCGCGTAAAAATAACGGTCACCAAACACCGGAAAAAAACGACAAGGAAGAAGATGTTAAAAGTGAACAAAGTGTAGATAAGAATAATTTGAAAGGCGATGCTAGTCCACCAACTGATGTTTGTGTTGAGTTGACTGAATCGTTGAATTTAAAAGATGAAAAGAGCAATTCTCTAAAACGCGAAGGTAGTAGCGATGGCATTGCAGAAATGAATACGCATTTCATGCAACTTGCGCAAATGAAGATCGAAAGCGCTGGTTTTCCACTCGCGTTGTTTAAACAGGGTTATTTATGTTTACCGTACTTATCTTTGCCCTACATGGATTTGTTGAGTGATGTCAATGTGCGAGGTTACATTGCGGGCGCAACGAATGTACTCTTCAAGCAAAAAAGGCAATTGTATGATATTTTGGTGGATGTAGACGCTGGACGGATTGAATGTCAAGATTTAGAGCTACGTAAACAGTTACATCTCACCACAGAGGATCTGAGATTTGCTGATTTTATTGTAAAACAAGTCAGCGACGAGAAGCACGATGTATTTTTGGATGGTGTTGGTTGGGAAGGTGGCGATGAATGGATTCGTACACAGTTTAAGATATATTTATTGAGTTTGCTAAGAACATCATTAAATCAAGGTATGATTTGATTAGGCTGTCATAAAAATATTTTCTTAATCCAGTAATAAATACAAACAGATGCTGGGCGTGAAGTGGACCACTTCAATTCAAGTTTTATGTCAGCATGGAAAGACACGCACAATTACAAAATGTGGAATTATGCTGAATCAAGTATAATGGACGTGATGCCTGGCCATCCATTTGCTGGACAACTATCAGTGGCGGATATGAAACTAAGGCTATCACAGTGAGTACATAAATAGTTTTAATTTTATTATCATTATCTTCATTTACATTATGCACGGTGGCGAGTACATTCTTTAATCTTATTTACGCAAATAGATATCTGTTAGTATCTATTATTTATCAAAGTTTTAATACTTTGTGCTATTTGCGTATTATTTTTATTACGCACGATTTGATACATTGCTGGTTAATTTGTAAGTGTCAGTGATTATATTGTGGCTGGTTGCTAATTGCATGATTTGTTAGTAGGGGGTTTCCGAAATCTTTTATCTGCACAGTAAGTAATTATGGTTTTGCTCATTTATTTCTTATTTTCAATAATCGTTTCATAGTTGTATGAAAAGTATGAAAATAAACTTGATAGTTAGTTTTGTTTTTTGTGAGGAAAACACACCATTATAATTTCTATGATTTGTCATTGTTGTAGCACGATGCATAACACTGAAAGTGGCAGGAAAATAAATCAAGCCATGGTCTCGACCGGGCGAGCCGTCGCTACGACGAGCAAAGCAGTCGGTGAGTGCACGAAAGATGTTTCAACTCCAAAATAGCTAATTATCTATTTAGTTTTTCCAAATTTTGGAAGGTTTTTACTGATTGTGTGCATTTTGGTTGCAGGTGGTGCAATTTCCCATGCAAAAGGCGCATTCTCTAGCTGGTTTAGCAACCTTCTCGTTAGTCCAGACCCTGGCAGCACAAAAAATGAAGAAGATAACGCGTGCTACGCCACTGACGAACAGGATTTGCACTGCGATTCGAAACAGTCGGGCGTTGAAACTAGTCAATGTAATGCGATATATTCCAATGAAAATCAAGAGATTACAGCGAGCGGGAATTGTGTGAAAAAGATAAAGACCTTGTAAATGGCTTCATCATTAAAGAAATGCAACAGAACAAAATGGAGAACTTCAACGGTGCTGATGATACTCAACGGAAACGCGAAACCAATGTGGTTTGAAATTAAAGTTTACGCTAAAAATAACTTAGCATGGCAATTTTTAATCGTGCTCGATGTGTGTGCGTTAGCATTGTCGCTTTTCAGCTCATCGTGAAGAAAATACAACAACATTCCATAATGTTATAAAAAAATCATGCTGATCAATTAATTTCCGGGAAAGGCGGCCGTACTAAAGCAAAATAATCACGCGATTGGGGTTTTCACATTTAAATAAAAGTAACACAAAGATGCTGCAAGTATTAAGTGATTTTTTAAATAACAAGTTATAAATGTTAGATATTTTTCAATATGCAATTGAAGTCTATTATTATGTACTCACAAATCAATATTAAGCATCAAATTGTATATTTCTTTCTTCAGTGGTCGTGCAAATGGAGTCTGCCTGAAGAGATGCAATAAATTGTAACAAACATTCACAAAGTTTATGGAAAAGTTTAACTAAGCAGTTATATATTGATCTTTTCAAGGTGGACAATGCAAATATGTAATATCTTGCCTACATATTCATTCAACGGCTAATAAATATTATAACTAGTTGTACAAAGACATTAAATACACACGCCAATAATTTTTAGTTTTATTACATTCTAGTCCTACCAAAAAAATCAACTTAATTTAGTAGTGCAACTTTTTTTTACTCTGTAGCTGATGTTAATTTAATCATCGAATATTTTATTGCTTTACGCTAATTGATTATTTATTTGTTTACGATTGGTACTTGGTAGCCATTTTAATGGCCGGTGGATTTAATTAACATATTCATCATGATGAAATGTTGAAATGCATTTAATGTTCAAGAATTAAGCATTCGTGTAAGCGCGCGAGTGTTCGGCGAATGGTAATTAAGCTAATCGTGTTGAATGGACCAATACTAGAGGGCGGTTTCGGTGTTGAGCGTTGTCGAGTCGGTATAATAGTTTGTTTATTTCCCGATCGTTTACCTAAACAGAAGTGATCATTTTCGTGCACTGTTGTCAGTTTTCGCGATCTTTCATTTCGTAAATTTCACTTTAGAACGGTTTTCATATTCAATGTGTCAAATTTATTTATTTTCATACAATTATTAGTTGTTCAGTGAAAGATTGCTTTTTCTTCGTGCATCTACTGTTGAAATATAGTTGATTTTACGCAGAGCATAAGTAAGTTAAACATAAGTTGGTTTTTATGGCGTGTAAAGTTTGTAGTGTAATCATGACTTCTGTGGTTCGCATTTTATTGCTGGTGATTTATAATTGAATGAAGTATATTGTTATAACTAATATCATTTTGCTTGCGGTGTTTTGAACATTCGGTTGATTTGGCATGCTGATTGATACATACTCGGCGCTCCATTCACGAGCACGGGAAGTCGAAACACGTTTGGCAACAGTGCGCCGACAGTCCTGTCACCGTCTTTAACCGTGCAGGGATGGCTTACATCTCGTGCTCGTCTATGCGCTATGCAAAAACCTACAAAACTAGATCAATCAGTGTCCAGTGATTTTCGCCGTCTCGTCGTCGAGAAGGTGTCGAGCCAATGTCGAGTTGAATCGAACATCACCGGAGGCGGCCAACAACGTTGTATTTAACGTTCGATCGAGTCGGCTGCGGTGCGTGCGAGCGCCTTGCGTGAAATTAGTTCGAAAAGTGCATCTTGTTAGTCAACAAGAGACCCGTCCGTGTAATATGACCGTGAAAGAAAACAATTTATCGGCCACCCGTCAGTCGCCATCTTTCTCGCGAGTTTTTCAATTGTAATAACAATAAAAAAACACACAACAAACAAGCTGATCATCGTAATAGTAAAGTGATACAGATGCATGCGGCCGTTCCGCATGCGACAGTTAATTGCGAACCTAATAATTAAAACTGCCGCTGTGTTTAATCGCGCATCGGCAAATATTTTCATTCGCATTTATTTACGTTAAGCCGATCGGCGGTTGTCTTTCGTGTTAACAAGTTGTGAAACAATCGACGAACGATAAACAATTATGTTTGGAGTTTGTGAGCGATTCAGACGGAAATTTCATCGGTTGTGAGGCGAAGGGAAGTGGCCCGTCGGCGGTTCCAGCACAGTTCGCCCTCGGAAAGAAGGTAAATTCACTGTTAAATAAAATTTATGCGGCATCGTCATCCATGTTTGTGCATCACAGAAAGTAACATTCGAGAGAAAGACAAAAACGAGCACCGACATTATTGCGCAAATAAATACAACGGTAACGATACGTCTGCTCATTTGTTCTTTTTTCTATAAATATCCACTCGAAATACGCCACGTGATGATAGAAGGTACTTTTTCCCAAGATGACGTTAGTCGTCGTTGAGCGTGTAATATTTTTTTGCAACAGGCTGTATAAACACAATCACTTTATCAATAAAATATGCTTTAATCTCGATATAATCGCAGTGTTTGCATATACATTCAACTTCATTCTCTCGTTCATCATACGAACAATTCGCTTCTATTCAACGCCTTACATTACATTTACATTACACAAACGTGTCGTTCTCGTAGGACGATTGTATTCGTCACCAATCATTAGAGTGACTTTTATTTATTTAACTATAAGAACAAGAAACAATCAGTTTATTCCATGTATTTTCCCGTGCGTTCCACTAATGAGGCGTTGATATGACTGATTTGTACGCTCGCATACGCCCAGCCTTTCGATCGACGTAATCGGCGATGTTTTCGTGATGCCTGGCGTAATGGCCGCGATGCGAGTGTGCCATGTTAATGCGAGTAATAATAAGTTTATTTGGCTACATCGTCGTCACCGCGATCGCCATGATCAAACAAGCGAAATGAAACGCGCCCGGCGAGTGAACAAAAAGACGACGTGCCTTAAATTATCTCATTTGTTTCGTGGTTTTGTGCGTTAGCGCGAGATTATTTGTACGATGTGTACGTAAATTGTACATGCACGCGGGGGCCATTATAGAATCTATCTTCGCTGAGAGCGCTAGGAAAACGTTTGGTAGGTTTTGATGCCTGTGGTTGAAGGTACGGTCGGCTGTGTGTTATGTAGGAGGAACTAGATTCGTTTAGCTGTTCCGTTGGGCCGGGTTGATTCCGACCAGCCACACTGCTGAGTGTTTCTATTTTAAATGTATGCCGTCTCAGGTCGATAATAAAATTTAAAGAGAATAAATTTTGTCAGGAGAATTCCGAAAATATTGGGCTTTTAAACAGTTTTCATAATTTGTTTATTTATCTACGCATTGCAAGGATATTATACGTCCAAGTGCAAGGTTTAGGCAATTTAAATGTGTAATTTCCCATTGCTGTACTTTGGGTTGCCTAAATTGAGAGTCGTTTTTATATGGAAGCTACGTCATTTGTATGCTTTTGCTCAACTTTTTCCGAATAATTACGTCAACACTTCACAGTTTCACGGAATTCTCAACTCGTTGTTTCATACATTAGAGTGTTTGTTCGATAAAATTATCTATATCTAATCCACGCCGTAGAATTATTCATAGCTGTTTCATACATACATTGTAAGTATGTATGCACGTACAAACATCTTGCCTTCTTTTGGTCTAATCTAACATTTCCACATGTTAGCTGAATTTTCCATGAGCAGTGACGACGTATTGATTTTTTTTATTCATAGCTTTAATAGCTTGATGACATACTGAACGTTTCTGTTTGTGTACCCCCCGCTGAAAACAAAGAGGCTCCTCGGGGGTGATGTATTTCGAACGCTGAATTAATATTAATATCGCAATAAAATGTCGAGGTAATTTTGTATGGTGATGTGTTTATCGCGTTTTGCATGAAAATCGTACTGCGATTGTGTCCGGGGTTTAATCGCGCCCGGGCGACCATCATGGCGTCCGGAATTGGATAAATGTATCGGGCGAAATAGCGCAAATCATATGCTCCGGTGGCGAGTGGCAAGCCTTCCGCGCGACGTGGCGCGGCCGCGATATCGATGTGTGGCGGCGCACCGTCGCCGGCACCCCCTAAGGGCGTGATCCCTGCACGGCACGCAACGAGTCGAGCAGAACGGTAGTGAATGCAGGAAATTCAACATCCCCGAGCTTACGCGTATCCAAACAAGTCCGCAGCTCGCCGCCCGTCGCGCGCCGGAATCCATCTTGATTTTCCTCCTCATGAAATCCACACTCGAAGTAGGTGACTATTTCACCCGCTTTAACAAAATACAACGCGCATGTTTCTCGTGTCAATTAACGCCATTTGCCTGCTAATTTTTATTGCCCTCCATTAGAAATTCAGTTTTTTTATTGTACTATGTGTTATCACGTTTATCATTCGACAGTCGTAGGTCGTACAATGATATATGTTTACGCCTTTTTTTCATACACTTATCGAGAGGCGCTGTTGGTTTAAAAATAAATTCTCATAAATACCTTTGTTCTTATCAGCACTCACCAATGAGAAATAAATAAGTTGAACGCAGTGTAAAAATCTGTTTTATATTGTTTGCGATCAAAGTGCAAGCAGGTCTATATTAATGTGAATACATAAAAAATGATAATTAAATTTAGATGGTTGCGGATGGTGGAAACTTCCACGAACAAACGCCAAAAACGCAACGAGGGCCAGGCAGGTGTTGGGGCCTGATCGTGGAATTTTTCGACCACAGGAACCTCCTCGTCGACGTGCGATGACGTATCCGCAGTTTGGAGTTTGCGTTTTGTTTCGCTGCTTTTGATTGAACTGTACTTGAACAGTATACCTCTAAGGTGGTTGAACAGCGCGGATTCAGTGTATGTGACTCTCCTATTCATGCCTACATACGTACGCAGTTGCTGTAGGTTACTATTTTAACGTGTTTACGTACACACGTTGCTTTTGCTTGTTGGTGGACGGACTCTGATATTGTGTGCATGTACACTGACTATACTACTAAGGCAAGCAGCAGCATATCGATGAAACCGACTGCTCACGCTCGTCAGTACTTGGTCGGTTTTAAAAGAGGCGTGCGCGAGTTGTAAGTACAAATGTAATGGTTTACATAACGTGCGCACACCTCGCTCTCTGCATGTCCGGATGGAAAAAATAACGCGCATTTAGAAGATGCACAGCTGTGTGCATGGAAAAAGGTACGATGCGACGAGTAGGAGCAAATCCGGGCACTCTTGTTGCGCGCGGAGGAGCATGGAGAGCAAGATGACGACTACTTGGGAGAGTCGAGTATTGAATTTTATACACATCCCAGGGCCGGGGCCACGCGAGTGGAGTTTGTGCCGCGGCGGCTCTCTCGCCACTTCCAAGAAGCTTTGTGTATGCGTTTTGTGTGCCCGCCGCTTAGCGCCGCCCGCCTGGCCGCCGCTTCCTTGTGCCGGAACCATACATGGGGTTTACCTCTTTTCGAGCGCTGCCTTATGTATTTAGATCGATAACTTTGCTTGCGCCACTCGCTGGTGCACCATCTGTATTTCGCGCGCTCGGATGCCTTTTATTCGGAAAAAGTTTGCGTCTGCAACTGTCAGAGCAAACTGCGATTCAGAAACGCCGCAGAGAGTTGGGCGCTGTTGTGGGCGTCGATTAGTAATGTCCTCATAATTTTCATTTACAAATTATGTTGCAATAATGTTCTCTCATCACTTCAGATTCGAATGGGGCGCCACAGGACCTGGTGGGATGGCAGATAACCGGTGTTTTTCAGGAGGCGGTAAGTGTTTCTATTTTTAATTGCTTTATAAGCTTATATAATTATTTTATTAGTTGGTGAAAATATTAATTAAGCAGTAAATATTTCCGGGTTAAAATTGTGCGTTGTTCGTCAATAATGGCGTACAAATATATCGTAAAACGATGATGTAGGTCAAGGTTGAGCGTTACGATGTGGTTTACGTTATGCGCAGTCATAACGTCGCTTTGAATTTCCCGCCGGTGAAGTGTTTTTACATCCGGAGGAGGACGACGCGTTCAAATCGGTTCGTAATTTGGCGCGCGAGTAAAGCCCGAAGACGCGCCGCGCGGCGTAAACGTGCGAACGCATGAACGAGAATGGCGGGCATTTGTCTCCTCTTGGCGCGCGGCGAACGCGCCGAGCGAGCGATATTGTGATGGCTCGCGCGATTACAGCAGTTCCGGTGGCGAGCGAGCGCACGTCGTACGTACGTACGTTACGTGCACCAGCAAATGCGCGCTGTACGGCTCGCATCCGCGGAATGCCGCCATTTGCCTCCCCCGACTCGCCGGTGCTCTGTCCTCGGTTACAAGCGAGAGTTCCTCGCTCCGTACCGTTTTGTTGCGGTACGACGCGACGTCGCGTCGAGACGTAGAGAGTGTGTTTTGTGTGTGGTGGGCGCACCACCGTGCGTTCACACGCAGATCCGCGAGAGTCTGGCGCGCGGATGTGTGGTTCCGCGCGCGCACGTGTGTACCGAAGTCGCACCGGTCCGCATGGTAGCCGCAATGTGCACGGTGCTGCACACTGACAGCAGCCGCGCGCGTGGTGCGCCCATCCACTCGGCGGCACTCACGCCGGCACGCTCGTCGCGCCGAGTCGAGGGCCGCGCGCGCGGCATGCAACAAGTGTCTACGCTGCTCACGCCGCGCTCGGCTGGAGATCGATGCTCTCATGCCGCCTATTCGCGTCTTCCGTTCCCTTCGGTCCGCATACACTCGCGCGGATACACCGCACACCCGTACGCCAATTTCTCAATCGTCGCGCAAAGTGCGCCGAGTGTGTGCGCTGCTTGCTTGTTTGCTGCACGGGCTGCACGTTTCGTCCCGGTTAGTTTTGACGGCGTGTAATCTGACCGCGCGCGGATTACCTTCGCACCCAGAGCGCTCGCTCATGGCGGCGCGCCGCCGTCTGTAAACTTCTGTTTTGCACCCACGAAATCGTAAATCAGCGAGACCCATTTTTTATTGTTTATGATTAATGCATAATAGATGTAGCACCACCGGGCGGGCAAACTTGCCAAATTACTTTCGCATTCATGACCAATGCGTAATAAAATTAATTAGTTGCCGTGGTTTATTTTCGTCTTGCTTAGCTGTTGGGTGTTCATACAAATGTATTTATAACATTGCGCCTTCCCACCATGACGCGCCTCGTCGAACAAACACGCGCCCTGAACGCCGCAGTCGAAACGTTTCATTTAATTTTATTAAAAGCTGCTGTATATATAATGCGGCATCGACGTGCGTTCACCGCACAGCACAATTGACGGGCGAGAAGCAACCCAATCTAGTTGACATTTCTTTCAACAGATCGAGCCACGGCTACAACGATCTTCTGTTTGTCGCATGCAACGGAATATTTTAATGCGCTACTTGAACTCTACTTAATTATTAATTTACACCGCCTGATTTGTTTGATACTAGATGGCGTTCAGTGATTACGCACGACCGACGTGGAAGAAAAAAATATATGCTGCATTGCCATTTCATTATTCTTCTTTGCACGCTCATGGCTTGCAACTTGCTGCAAGTCGTATGATGCCGCAATTAGCAGCTCATTTTTCATTTATTATTCATTACGATGATTTCGCCGCGTTGTTCGCAATTACGTTTGTTTTTAGAACAGATTAGAAAGCCATCAACTCCAAGTTAGATGCACTCCGCATGCCATGCGTTTCTCATATTGTTTTCGCAATTTAGTTTGTTGTTGGCGAATAGTAAATCGAAATAATGGTTTGCGCAGTTTTTCGAAACCGGCAAATATTGTCTTGTACGGGAGTTTTCTTGGTATCTTTCCACTCACGAACCAATGGAGACGCCCAGTCGGCGTGCTCCCGATAAAATACCACAATTTGATGCTAACCGAGCGGGAGCTCTTGTGCAAATCAATAATTAATGCGACTCGGGGCGAGTACGAGGGCCTTTCTGGGCACACACATTGACGGGGCATGGAGGAGACGTTCGCATGGCCCAACCGCGTGCAACACCGCGCCAGGGCCAGGGCCAGGCGCTGCTGCTTCTTCCATATTCGTCGTCGGCGTGGAGTTCAGCTGCTGGCCCGCGCCGAATGCTTCGCCATTGCGCCATTGCTCTCGAGTCTTCTCTCGATGGGTACGAAGTGTGTTCGTACCGTTTGACTGCTGCACCGCCGCACGCCGCCCAACTCGGCTGGTGTGTCTTTCTTGTTCGTCCTCACCCGGCCCCGCCGCTCACTCTTCCATATCGATTACTCGCTCCTACTGGGATAAGCGTGCATACGGAGGACGTATCAGGAAAATGTGTTGCCTCGCTCCCCGCGTGCGTGTTCGACGCGCACACACTACTATTCCATAGTATGTGTGTGTGTGAGTTATTCGAACAAAAGAAATAATCCGCAGCAGACTCAAGACGAGAATATGTCTGTTGAGTATGTGTGTGCGTGCATGAACGCAGTTTACTTGCTTACAACAAAAGCCATCCGCGTTAAATGTAAACGTCCTCCGTGTGTGCTCTCGGCGCGAACGTATCTTTCGCTTCTTGTGTACGAGTATCTTCTGTATGCATGCATTCGGGCAGAAAACGTAGTAGGATATTATTATAGTAAAGCAAGAACCTGTTTAGTTCGTGCGCGGTTATGTGTTCGAAAGCCCGTTGAACCAATCGTCCGGTCATTTCTTTTTCAACGTCGCCGACTTGTTCGGGCTCGTCTCTGCGCCTTGCCGAGCGCCTCCTGCAACGATGGGACAAATCGACAAACGTTGACTGCGTGTTTACGCCGGCTGCTCCCCCGGCGGCGTTCTCGCGGTGCCATTGCGACGCATTTTAATTTTTACGCATGCCATTGCGAGGTGCCCGAGCAAATGGCCTTTTCCTGCTGCGCGAATTCCACAATGTATTATAACCACCAGTCGGCGAGGCTGCTGCCCGATGGGTAGGTACGCAGCGATTTTGCACGCTCGTCATCTTTGTTTTGCCGCCCGCCACAGAGCGATAAGGTGTGTGCGTGTGAACGGACGAATCGCCAGATGGCATTAGTACGGACGTGTGTTCGAAATGTGCACCCGAAAAGCGACGACCTCCCCATCGATCTGCTGTGCATCATCAACACACCATCGACGCCTAGGTTAGTAAAGTAAAGCCCCTGTTCAAAAAGTGGCGCGCCGGCGAAATGTGGGGCGGGCGCGAACTGATTTGCCGCCCGCCGCGTTCTGCCACCACCGCCTGCGCCCGGACGCCGTCGCTTTTCGCTCGTCTGGGAAAGTTTGTGCGCCGCAGCGCACAAAGTAAGTGCGGCGTTTATCCAGGGCCGTATGCATCATTTGGGAGTTGGTGTCAAGGTCGAAAACGAGCAAATTATATATTTGCGAAATATTTAAAAAAACAACAACTACTAATTTATGATTATCATGATTTACACATTACAGTATGGTGTTAAGTAGATTATCTCGGCAATAAAAGTTGAGATTAATAACGATCTCATTTCAATTACAGACACTTTTATGCGGCTTCCGTTCGAAAAGGGTGTAAAGTTTGATTTTTATTATTTATTACGTGAACTGTCGTAAAGTGGTATATACACCCTGTGTGAGAAAATGAATTGTGTTTAGATATGTGCGCTATTATGCGGTCGCAAGTGGTGGGGCGCCGCGCGGCACGATGTTGTGTGTGTGTGAGGAGCCGCGGAGATCCCGCGCTGTTTACACTCGCGTTCAGTTGTAAGCAGCGGCCGGTTGACGACGGTGGTGTGTGCTCTCCCGGCGCTCGCAGTCATGCACGTTGCTCGCGCTTTTCGTGAATTTGCTCCACCGCTGGCACAATAATTCGACGCGGCAACACGCAACGACGGCGCCGCGCGCGTTTACGCGCTCAACGACGACCGCGACGGTAGTGTATGAGTGTGTGTGTGGGTGTGTATGCCCCGGTGGTGTGCTGCAGCACGGAAGGGTCTCCCGCGCGCGCGAAATTAAGTCAGTCGGCAGCAGTAGCGGCAGTCGGTGTCTCTGCGTTTTGATAAACATGGCGACCGATGGACGGTGGTGAGGCCACGCGGGCGCGCTCGGTCACCACACACACGTACACTCGGCGCTCGCGCTCACTTGGATTATGTTGTGCAGCACGGGTTGACGCTGACGCGAGTGGGTGAAGAGAGCGGAGAGCGGTCCAGATGATTTGAAACACGCGCGTGCATCTTGCTAGCCGCGCTCTCCGGCAGCGAGAGTCCGGTGGTAGTGTGGTTGGTTGTGTGTGCGGGTTACGAACGGTGGGGTTGTTGCACGCCCGACAGACGTCGATGTGTGCGGCGACGAAACCGATTGCCGTCGACGCCGATACGGATACCGGACGAATTGTTAATTCAGCATCCACGGCCGACACGCACTGCATGACTATTATGCCATGGCTGTGCTTAGATCTGCGTCTGGTGAGTGTGCTTTTGTTTCGCGTATTCAAGTTGCACTTGCCCAGGTTTGCTTGCTGCTCTTGCCGTGTTCGAAACTTTGACGCTAAATAACGGTTCAAATTACAAAATGGCTACAAGCATATTTACGCTAGCTATTTTTCAAATCCGTCACGTGCTGTAAATTTTTGAGCAAATAGCTTCCAAATTCTGACTAATATTTGCCAAATTCAGTATTTCTTTGTATTTTGCTGAAGAAAAATAACTGATATATTTAATCAGCTTTGTTAATACAACGACATTCAAATATTCCCCAAATTATGGATAATATCCAGAAGAAACTGTAAAATTCCCAAAGCGTGCAAAGTACAAACTCATCCTGC